GGTCTATTTCACCAATTTTCGAGTTCAAGACTGTATCTTACACGACAGCTTCTATACTTCTTTCAATGACCGCTTTAAACATGGTTCTTATTATGTTGAACTTGTCTGAAATCTTTTTCATTGACATTCTTATAAACATCGTTGGAAGTCTGCTTTTGGAACTTTAATAATACTCTTTGTTTTCATTTTCACCAACGTCAATAATTTTCTATACTTAACTTCAATAAAAATGATATTTGTTCACCCACATTGAGGCAAACAGTTGATTTCCCCGAAATTGGAGTGAGCACCACGTACCGTGATCGTGATCTTAGATCATTTTAATGATCAATATTACGAATGCCTAAAAGATTGAGAGAGTCTTCAAACTTTGTAAAGATACATATTTATTGTATTAGAAGGTATATTTTTGGTATGAAAATGAAAAATTAGAAAACTTTCAAATTTACGTTCGAGTCGGTAAAATCACGGAATTAGAATAGAGGGAAAGGCAACTGCCTCTTCGGCATAGGAAATATGTGCCGTGCACTTGATGTTGCGAGAAACTACGAGAAAGCGTGAGAATTTACGTGATTCGGGGAAAAAAACCCGCCGCTTCAAACATCGATGAAATTGATCGCCGTTCAGAAGTAACATATTTTGGGCTATCTCTACCGTTACATTGTCCGGATTTCAAAGTAAGTGATCTTTGCTATCTAAGTCCGTGGTAAAATGTTTCATGATTCAGGGATTATTCTCTGTAAAGATAACGCTGAATGAAGATGTAAATGTGTTTAAATATATTGCAAGTATCCATTTTAATTGCTTGAAATGATATATATATATATATTATGATAAACCGCTTTTGGAATTATTTGATTTGATTAAAATCCGCATTACCGTCCAAAGTTGTATACCTTACTAAAAGTATGTTGCTATCAATGGCTACGTTAAAAATGCCCCTCTCGAGATCCCTTCCCTTTCTGTGCGTTACCTGTTGAGAAGTGCTTACTACACGTATATGATAACTGTTTTGCGGTCCGTACCTCTCGGCTGACTGCATCAAGGGAATGTGTGTGGGATCACCCTCACTATTTCCCGCGGAATGTACATTCGGTTTACTTCTTGAAGCACTATTTAGGTCATATGTAAAATTGGAGCTTCCGAACGGTACCTCTGCCAGCTATCGAGGTCACACACACACCAGCTGATCGCTGTGTTTCATTCATAAGTTGGCTGACGGTTTGTGTAGTGTCAGGTGTGTTTCTCGACAGACTTGCTAGCTGTTGGCACGGAACAAAACATCTCGTCATCGGGATCTACTCTTCTCACCTGGCTTTTGTTTTATCCTCTGTCCTAACTGTGTTTGGAGTCCTTTCTAGATTTAACTTTTTTGTCGACGTTTTTTCCCACTTGCTGAACCACTTGTGACATTAAACAGTGCGAACACATTGCACCGTATATACATCTATACAACCCCCGTTATTTGACACCATGTCGGAATCTGCAACAGCTTCTAACGTGGCCTCTGGAGATGCCCCTGAGGCCCAGCCCCCCAAAAGGGGCAGAGGACGACCCCGAAAACCCAAACCAGACCAGGTAAGTGTTGGTGTGTACGGAATGCGGTCACTAGGTTGCACCAGGTATACATCTCTCTACTCTGTTTACTTTCTCTTGTGATATCCAGGAATAGCCAAAAAAAGTACCACCCACGCGAAAAATGAAAATTTGATATTGTGTTATGTTCCGTTGTCGGATAACATTAGTCTTAAAACACGTTTATAGGGATGTCCATCTTGTTTTTAATTAAGCAGAGTTGCAATTACTTATTTCTAGCCAGAGGAACCGAAACCTAAACGACCCCGGGGGAGACCACCCGGCAGCACCAAAAAACCCGACACCAAGGTATGTATCCATGTGGAACAACTGTTTATATATAGCACGCTATCGTATCTACATTTTTACAAAATTGTCTATATTTTAAATTATCACGATTCCACTCATTTTCACGCGAAGAAAACGCCAATGGGTTTTGAAATGTGCAGAAACCGGTCTTGCCCGTAAAGTACCCCGTCCAACCCCGTAGGATGCGCCCTACCCGGATATTTAGAATGTCCAAAGAAATGACACACACTCCTTCTCCACTCGTTATCGAACATACCCTTTTCTGACACCCTAATCACATGTATCAGAAATACCTATCCGACCGCGCCTCTATCCACATGTAATAAGACATCCTGTTTCGATCCCCTATTTCTCTGTTGTAGAATACCCAACATGACCCCCCCTCCTCCTTACCCTCCCTCATGATCAACAATAACTCATCCTCGACATCAGCAAAACCCACCGACTAACTTCAATTAGTATCAGAAATAGCCTCCCCTACCACATCGCACCACATATTAAAAGTCCCGCCCCCTACCTTCTCGTGGTATATGAAATACCAGCTCGGCCCCCTACCTTCTCGTGGTAAATGTAATACCACCCCATCCCCTTGCCTTCTCGTGTTAAATTATGTAACCTCCTGACCACTCTCTCAACATGATACCAATACTATTTCCGCCCCTCTCCCCACATAGTTGAGAATAACCCTCCTGATACCTTTTTTTCACGAGGTATAAGAAATACGATACCAACCCATTCTCCACGGTTTAAGAAATACTACACAAACCCCTCTCTGCGCGTGGTATACAAAATACCCCTCTGTCCCCCTTTCCACATTATCAGAAATGTATGGTATTATACCATTTGCCCTTGTGGTGTAAAAAAAATACCATTCCGACCTCCTCTACCTCGAAAGTATAAGAAATAACATATAAGAAATACCGACCCATCGCAACGTGGTATAAGATATACCATTCCGACCCCTTTTACCCGCGTGGTACAGGAAATAACATTCAGACCCCCTCGTAACGTAATATATATATAAAAAAAAAAAACCATTTCGACCCCCTCTACCCGCGTGGTAAAAGAAATAGCATTCTAACTCATCTAACCGACCGCGGGTTATAAGAAATACTGGCCGTGTGGTATAATACCATACCACCCAACCTTCTCCACGTGGAGTAAGATAAATATATATATTGTGGTTGATTACTGTTATTTGCATGCGGTTGTTAACTATTGAATATAAAGAAAGATAAATTTCATAGTATAAATATATATTGTAAAGTGCATTGGGAAGGCATTATTTTCAACCGGCGTCCCCTTGAAAAATATACAATTTCGTTCTAATCCCCACAAAGCGAGGTCCCCGGGGGTACTTCCGTTGCAAATCTAGGTCAACCTTGAAAGGAATTTTAGGCCAGTACAATACGCCGACAGCAGCCCTCCTACACATTAGTGCAGTGGGTTCCCAAGGTGGTTAAGGGGCCGGGCCAACAAGGGGTTCTTCGGATAAACCAAGACGGAAACTTTCCAATTCTTTTGTAATGCAAACCTGTTTCAATGACTTAAAATAAGTAAAATAATATAAATAGTATATGGACATTTTTATTTATAAATTGAAAGTGTCAGCATTATTTCAATGTTGTCGCTCGGTAAATAAACGCTTTATGTGGATTTGTGATGTCGTATGTGTCGTGTCCCACATACGTACTACGTCTCGGGTCAAACGAATATCACACTGTCCTCGCGATAACTCTTGACCGGATGTGGTCTGAAATACGCTTGTGAGGTACTGTATATGTGTATAAATGGGCACAAGTCGTGTGTGGTGCGATGATAAGGACGTTAGCACTTTCGGTTATTTTTGCTCACAAGGACAATTGAAAAACATTCTGATTGGCTGCTCCTTAAAAACTAACATATCTTAAACAAGAGAAGCGTATGTAGACAGAATAGGGACTTGGTTTCCTAAGTATTCTAAGTTTTACTTATTGACGTTCATAACATGTTCAAAGTTATTCATTTATTTATTTTCAATAATTTATTTTAAACAGCCGTCACGATTTTCGATAATCGTGCCGATTTCTTTTCGTTAATTTGACATTGCCTTGACGAGATTTTGGAAAAAATTGAGTCTGGTATACAGTTAGCCAGATAGAAACGTATGAGGCAACTAATTATAAATAGCTCCCTCTCCATGGAGGTTTTAGTGTTCATCTTCTGAATAAAAAGTCCTCACGGGCAAGATCGATCCTTTGCTTCAGTACCTAGCTGGAATACAAAATATATTAATCAATGTTCTACCACTTCACAAACAGCTAATGTGAAAACTTAACAAAATTCAACACTCATATTTTATTCGATTATAACTACAAAGTGGTCTGGTGACGAAATACAAAAAAAAACACACCATATATGTAAATAGAAAAGTCGCAAGATGATCAGATTATGTTTTATAGTGAACAATGTGATGAACAACCATCCACAACTTCCAATAAAAGTAGTAAGTCGTATTAATGACATAATCCTACTGACCACTGGCCACGCTGTCCATGCAGTTCACTGTTTAACGAACTAACAAGCGGTCAGTATAAAGGGAACATCATCTACAGACACAATCTGATAATTAAACATGAAAAAGAAACAGACCTCATATGATTAATTTGTTTTATATCCCATATGGGTCGTGTGGATGATTTGAAACTATTCAATATATACTCCGATAATTACCTGTCTCTCGTCTGAGTCAAACCCTGGACCTCCGATAATTACCTGTCTCTCGTCTGAGTCAAACCCTGGACCTCCGATCATTACTTGTCTCTCGTCTGAGTCAAACCCTGGACCTCCGATAATTACCTGTATCTCGTCTGAGTCAAACCCTGGACCTCCGATAATCACCTGTCTCTCGTCTGAGTCAAACCCTGGACCTCCTATAATTGCCTGTTAAATTGTAGGACACTGGTCCAGTATATATAGGTTTGAGGTTTTGTCTGCAGTGGGACCAATCGGGAACCGTCGGCACTTTCCGAAATTCTCGTTTACGGAAAGTGCCGAATTATGAGAAAACCGTTAGTTTTCAGCACATGGACTCGTGATAGAGACGGGTCCTTGTTAAAATTGTTCCTCAATCTCAATTTTTGTTTAACAAAATATAATGATAATAATTCTGACGATAAAACTCAGTTTTGGATATTATGGAGCAAATGCGCATGTTCAAACTTTCCCTCTAAGTGCACCGTTGACGAACAATGTAGACTTTTTCAAAGCGTCAAGATTTGTTCACTAGCTTGCATCAAGTGTAATAAAAATAAAATGTGTTGAAATATTAAACGACTTCTTCTTAAAAAACACATTACATTGAGCCATATTTAGGGTAAAGGGGCCCCATGCATTACAAAATGTAACCTCTTCAAACAACCTGTCGTGCAGTGTGATACCTGTGACAAAAATATTTGGCGTGCAGATTGCTTTGATGGCAAGTGATTCGGTGGCGCATAGGATAGCGCACTCGCTAATCACCAAGACGGCTGGGGCTCAATTCCCAGCGGTCGGACATGAAACGTTACGGGGTTCCGTACTGCGATCCTCGAAATTCCAGGAGGTACGCTTATTGCTTTCTCTGCAGCCTTAGAATTTCGCATGGCAAAATCGAAGGTTCTGTACGCGCCACTCTGTACGTTTGATGTACATCAAAAGAATCGCGCGCAGCGTAACGAAAACTTTGACCAGCTTTGAAGTCTGTTGTCGCTTCTCTGTAATCTTGAAGACAATATCAGCCTAGTCATTTATTTGTCAGGGTATTTTAAACCGAAGCCAATCAAAGAGCCGACCGCGTGTCTATTATTTTGTCATTATATATTCCAAGGTTGCACCGAACGCAAGTTAGCGCATCCTCGATATCCAGGGGTTATGCTCACTTACGCTCTCTGCACCCCTGGAATATGTCATTGCAAAATCGAAGGCTCAGTGTGCGCCACCTTGTTGATGAGACAAAAAGACTAGTCCGATCCTTTGATGTACATCAAAGGGATCTCGCGGTCGCATAACGGTAAAAAATGACAGGCTTTGAAGTCAGGTGTCACTATTTTGTAATCTTCAAATGACAGGTATCAGCTTAGCGATTGGTCAGTTTTTAGGTCACCTGAGCTTTGCTTAAGTGACCTATTCCAATCACTTTCCGTCCGTTGTCGTCCATCGTCCGTCGTGCGTCGTGCGTAAACTTTTTACATTATCAGCTTCTTCTCAAGAACCAGTGGATGGAATTTTTCAAACTTGGTCAGAATCATCCTTGGTAGATGAGGCTACCAAATTGTAAAATTGGGATTCCTACCTCAACCCTAGGGGCAAGGGCGGGGCCCAAAAGGGAAAATTAACCAATATTTCAAACATCTTCTTCTCCAGACTCAGAGGTATTACAGTCATTTCCTCTGTATGGATGGAAAGATCATCAGGGGCTTTATTTAAATTGTGAATTTCAGGACCCCCGAGCTATCCGTTCTCCCTTGGGGAGGGTGTAAAGTTTACTATAGTTTATATAGGGAAACAACACTTTTGGGTATATTTTGACAATTTTCTGTTGGAAATTATTTTTACTTGGTGAGAATTATCCTTGGAGGAGGAAGATGGTTTAAATTGTAAAATTGGGATCCCTTCCCTAACCCTAGGGGCCAGGGCGGGGCCCCAATAGGGAAAATTAGCCAATATTTCAAAAATCTTCTTCTCCAGACTCAAAGGTATTACAGTCATTTTCTCTGCATGGATAGAAAGATCATCAGGGGCTTTATTTAAATTGTAAATTTCAGGACCCACGAGCTATCCGTTCTCCCTTGGGGAGGGGGTAAAGTTTACTATAGTTTATATAGGGAAACAACACTTTTGGGTATACTTTAACAATTTTCTGTTGGAAATTATCCTTACTTGGTGAGAATTATCCTTGAAGGAAGATGGTTTTAAATTGTAAAATTGGGATTCCTACCGCAACCCTAGGGGCAAGGGCGGGGCTCCAAAGGGAAATTTAACCAATTTTTCAAAAGTCTTCTTCCCCAGACTCAGAGTCCTATACTACAGTCATTTTCTCTGCATGGATGGACAGATCATCAGGGGCTTTATTTAAATTGTAAATTTCAGGACCCCCGAGCTATCCGTTCTCCCTTGGGGAGGGGGTAAAGTTTACTATAGTTTATATAGGGAAACAACACTTTTGGGTATATTTTGACAATTTTCTGTTGGAAATTATTTTTACTTGGTGAGAATTATCCTTGNCAAGTATTGTATTTCACTTAGTTTACATGCTGATTTCCACATCACATCTAAACAATAAAATAAAGCTACCAGTACCTATGATATAACTCAGGTGACCGCTAAGGCCCTTGGGCCTCTTGTTTTTTTTACCTGAGACCAATCAAACAGCTATTGTTGTGCCTTCAATTTTTGTTTTGACATATTCCAGGGGTGCAGGAAGCGTACGTGAGCGTAACGTCTGCAACTTCGAGGGTACCTACCCGGACACATGGGTTTTCTCTGAGCGCTCAGAGATGCGACACGCCCAATTGAAGCGTTATGTTTCTTTGAGTAGTATTTTTTTGAGATTTTAACTAATTGATTCCTGTAATGTTGAATAAATGATATATAAATATCAATGTCATTTGTTTTTAGCTCACAGGGCCAGGTGAGCTTATGGCATGGTGAGGCGTCCGTCGTCCGTCCGGCGTCAACTTTTTACTTTAAACAACTTCTTCCCAGTTACCAAAAGGCCTAGGGTGATGATATTTGGCCAGAAGCATGCTTGGGACGAAGGGCTACCAAGTTTGTTCAAATAAATGACCTTCATCAATTTTCAAGGTCACATGGGTCAAATATGTTAAAATCTTTAAACAACTTCTTCTGAATAACCAAGAGGCTTAAGATGCTGATATTTGGCCAGTAACATGCTGGGATGAAGGGCTACCAAGTTTGTTCAAACAAATGACCTTGACTTATATCCAAGGTCACAGGGGGCAAATATGTTTAAAACATTTAAACAACTTCTTCTGAATAACCAACAGGCCTAGCGTGATGATATTTGGCTAGTAGCATGCTGGGATGAAGGGCTATAAAGTTTGTTCAAATGAAAAACCTTCATCTTTTTTCAAGGTCACAGGGGTCAAATATGTTTAAAACCATTGAACAACTTCTTAATAAGCAAAAGGCAAAGGGTGATGATATTTGGCCATTAACATGCTGGGATTAAGGAATAACAAGTGAATGACCTTCGCCCATATTCAAGGTCACAGTGGTCAATATATGTTTAAATCTTTTAAATGATTTGTTCTGTATAACCAAAAGGTCCAGGGTAATGATATTTTTCAAGAAGCATGTTGGGTTAGAAGACTATCAACTCTGTTCAACCTAATATTATAATTTCTTTGTTCGGCATTCAAGGTCACAGGTGTCATATGTTTAAATCTTTTAATAGGTTCTCATGAATGAAACACTGATATTTTGCATGTAGCTGTATTTTGGTCCACTTTTAAGATTACAAGTGTGAGATTAATACCAGGTGAGCGATGCGGGCCCATTGGGCCTCTTGTTTATTTGAACTCTAGACCTCACGATTCATAAGTACAAATAGTTTGAAGTTAAACGCATCTGACTCGTCACCTTGAATGCGGATAAAGGTTTTGAAAACATTTTGACCCGTGGCTTGCAAGAGTGAAAGTGTGCTGAGATTCGAGGTGTTCGACAATATATTATACATTATCAGATGGATTGTTGCAAAGTCGCTATGGTTTTAATATCCAATCTATTCATATAAATATATATCAACACGTCATTCAATCATCTATCCTATATACAGATTATATAAATATTGAATTAATTGTTTTGTTGACTTTCAGAAGGAATATAAGCCTACCAGACCACGAGGTAAACAGGCGAAAGTAAGTATTTCATGTACAATACAGCCTGTCTTTAACTCAATCACCCCTGAGATTTCATAATGAACTATTCCAACCTTTCAACTGGAAGAGTTCAAATGTTTCTTCAGTGGTGAATGAGTTAAGTGTGGATACCAGACATTGGACAGTGACTGAAGTTGGAAACAATTTTAACTTTTTTAATGTTAGTTCTCAGGGAAGCAGGTGATGTAATTAGGTACTTATTACAACAAATACGGTAATGCTTTTTGGAAATGTATTGATACTTAAGGTACCTTGAATTAAACGTTTTTAGAGTATGAAATTGTCAGGATGATATCTTATATTTTTTTGACAGTTTCAGTAAAACTGTTCCATGGTTTACAATTGTATTCCCTTACCTGAAAATAAAAGCTGGCGCAACAATGAAAGAGTATTATAAGAAGCTGAATTATTTAATATTGTACTTTCATAATTTGTTATAAAATGCTGCAAAAACATAAAATCCTGATTAATTTTACTACAGCAAAACAAACCACAAAACAAACAGAACTGTTTCTGAAAAGAACTAAGTCTTTTAAATCTTAAAACAGATTTAGTCAGTTCAGACAGCCCCTTAACTCGTGATCCTTCACCCCTGAACTTTAATAATGAACTATTCCAACTTTGGAATTGGAAGAGTTCAAATGTGTCTTCAGGGGTGAACGAGTTAAAGTGCTGTATTGTTCGTCCCCCATCAGTTCACCCGTCTGTCAATAATCTGCACTAGTCCTACTCCTAACTCAATTTTTATCCATTAGGTTACTTCCGTCACAGGTCAAGGCCATTAAAGGTCGAATCGCTCAATGTCATTGGTTGATTGTTTCCGCACCGTAAACTTCACTAAAAACCTTATCTTTGCTACACTTCATGGACTTATAGCTTGTGTTTGGTCAGAAAACACCTATATTCTTCAGTGTATTCTGTGAAATGTCCAAGGTCATATTAAAAGGTCATTTGCATGTGCAAATTGAACGTGAAAATGATTTATGAAAATTCCTTATTGGATGCTATATTTCGTTACTGAAGTTACTTTCTCGAGTATGAAGCGAAGTAACTCGAGATTGAGGCAAGAAAATGACTCGAGTACTATTGGCGAAATTATACGAGTACCAGGCGGCGAGTACTGGAGTATATGTATGAGGCGCGTTAATGAGTATGAGATGATCAATTTGCGAGTATGAGGCGCGTTAATGAGTATGAGACGATCAATTCGCGAGTATGAGGCGCGTTAATGAGTATGAGACGATCAATTCGCGAGTATGAGCGCGTTAACTTTTGTGTGAATTAGGCGAGTTTACCCGAGAATGAATAAGGAGAGAAAACTCAAGTATGAGGCTACTTTATATTCATATCGATTTTATTTAAATCACTCAATTTTTGCTTTTATGTGAGACGAGAAATGTTAGCACGAATGCAAGTGTGATTAAGTTGTATAGTTAGCGATGCTCGACACCAGCTAGGTCACTACTTGACCCTGTTGCAACGGAGTCTCGGCTCTAATTGAAGTGTAAATACCAACACTGGACTGATTAGGACCACAGACTAAGTACTTCCTGTCATCAAGCAGCCATTTTGTTTACGAGGCTCCGACAGGGGAGGACTGTCGATGTCGTAACATCTTATAGTAGACTAGCGTAGGGTTTCACTCGAGGATTCCCCTCCGTTCACCATTGATGTGTCCATATTGACGTCGTATTGACGACACGACAACTTCCGTACCAGATGGCTATCAAAATTTGGAGTGGACTCTTTGGGGTGTTATCGTCTTCTCTCCCATATCAAACAAAACACGTGCGTTTTCACGTAGTTATACATAAATATTTAACCTGTTGACATTTCGTCATTTGATCAAGATTTCCTAAAATAGAGCAGGGGGGGGGGGGGGATTCCGCGAAACCAGTTGGAAGTAGTTGCGGTCAATTACGTCATCATTTTCTGTGTTGTTCTTTAGTAGTTGCATTGCTTTGATCCACATTCAAAATAATAAAGACCAAATATGTTAAAAATTTCAAAACCATAGTCTCATAAAAGACCCATAATGGATAAATAAATGTCTTTTGGGCTACCATTTTTGTCCAAATAAATGACATTGAATTACTTACAATGTCACATGGATCGGCTCATAAGGATTCGTAAGATCGAGAATAATGATAATTGGCTTGTATAGCTTGCTTGGATGAAGGGATCAAGTTTGTACAAATAAATGACCATAGTCATAGGGTCAAATGTGTCCAGAACAACTTATTCTAAAGATCGATAGGGACTAGCGAAACGCTTGTCCTAGTCAGGTTTTGGGATACAGTCGTGCAATCGAGCTTGATCCTCTTTCAATGTCAAACGTTAAAATAGATAAAAACAAAAACAAACAAAAAACGTATTCTTCTAGTTTGCATCTCTTATATCACGAACAATGATATTTGGCTTGTAGCTTCCTATTGTGCAGATATTCATTATATTTAGCCAGAGGTTTACTATGAAGCTTGATCACATGAATGACCTTGGCTTACTTCGAAGGTCATACTGGACATCTCATTACTAGAGTGAAAGAGTATAAGCTGGGCCAGTATCTATTGACACGTTAGTGATCCGTTACCGTATCATTAAACATCCTATTTGTTTTTTAGAGACGACGATTTAACAATTTAGGGACCTGACAGAATTGACAGAAAACATGCTGACATTGCCTATCACAAAAATAAAAACTCTTGACCTTCATATCTACTTAAACTAATACATTTCTACTGAAGGTCAACGAGAAGAAATCACACGCAGTTGTATCAGTGTTATTTTGACGCTTTTCCTCTTCGCTTTGAAAGCATGAAGGCAAACATTTATGCTGTTCCAGGAATATATTTTGCAATTACACACAAACATGAATGCCACGGTATCATGCAAGAACTATAAATGTAGTACGGAAAGGCGTTTATTGAACATATTTTCATATTAACAGTTATAGGTCATTGTGAACGCAAATATGGAATTCGTTGCTGACTCTATACACTTTTGTTCATTGCAGGGGGGGACTAGCGATGAACCATCCGAGAGTACAAAGGAATCGAACCCAAACTAGACTACCTCAACACTAGGACCAAAACTACGCTACTGCGTCGTGTACATAGTTTGCGTCATCAGGGAAAAATGAATATGCAGTAACCCGATAACTACAGACAATTTTCAACCCGGTGCTGTAATGAACACAACCAGAATAATGACTTACGCGTGTGTTAAGAGATACTGCTAGCACAAAAAGCGGCAAGTCATCCAAGAAGATCTGAAGTGACACTAACCAGAGCTGACGTAGCTCAAAATCAAATACTGTATATAGGAGAACTGTGAGAATGTTGCTATGGTTGAGTGGCTATATAACACGTCGACAGAAATAATGTTTCTATGGTTGACTGTCTATATAACACGTCGGCAGAAAGAGTGTTTCTATGGTTGACTGGCTATATAACACGTCGGCAGAGAGAGTGTTTCTATGGTTGACTGGCTATATAACACATCGGCAGAAAGAATATGTCTATGGTTGACTGGCTATATAACACGTCGACAGAAATAATGTTTCTATGGTTGACTGGCTATATAACACGTCGGCAGAAAGAGTGTTTCTATGGTTGACAGGCTATATAACATGTCGGCAAAGAGAATGTTTCTATGGTTGACTGGCTATATAACACATCGGCAGAGAGAACATGTCTATGATTGACTGGCTATATAACACGTCGACAGAAAGAATGTTTCTGTGATTGACTGGCTATATAACACGTCGGCAGAAAGAGCATTTCTATGGTTGGAAGGTTATATCACATGTTGGCAGAGAGAATATTTCTATAATTGACTGGCTATATAACACGTCGGCAGAGAGAGTGTTTCTATGGTTGACTAGCTATATAACACGTCGGCAGAGAGAATGTTTGTATGGTTGACTGGCTATATCACACGTCGACAGAGCTAATGTCTCCATGGTTGACTGGCTATATAACACGTCGACAGAGAGAATGTCTCTATTGCTGGCTTCCTATATAACACGTCGGCAGAGAGAATATTTCTATAGTTGACTGGCTAAATAACACGTCGGCAGAGAGTGTTTCTATGGTTGACTAGCTATATAACACGTCGGCAGAGAGAATATTTCCATGATTGACTGGCTATATAACACGTCGACAGAGCTAATGTCTCTATGATTGACTGGCTATATAACACGTCGGCAGAGAGAATATTTCCATGATTTACTGGCTATATAACACGTCGGCAGAGAGAATGTTTCCATAGTTGACTGGCTATATAACACATGGGCAGAGAGAATGTTTCCATAGTTGACTGGCTATATAACACGTAAGCAGAAAGAATGTCTCTATGGTTGACTGGCTATATCACATCTTGGCAGAAAGAATGTTTCTATGATTGACTGGCTATATAACACATCGGCAGAGAGAATGTTTGTATGGTTGACTGGCTATATCACACGTCGACAGAGAGAATATTTCCATGATTGACTGGCTATATAACACATCGACAGAGATAATGTATCTATGATTGACTGGCTATATAACACGTCGGCAGAGAGAATATTTCCATGATTTACTGGCTATATAACACATGGGCAGAGAGAATGTTTCCATAGTTGACTGGCTATATAACACGTCGGCAGAGAGAAGGTCTCTATGATTGACTGGCTATATAACACATCGACAGAGAGAATGTATCTATGGTTGACTGGCTATATAACACGTCGACAGAGAGAATGTTTCTATAGTTGACTGGCTATATAACACGTCGACATAGATAATGTTTCTATGATTGACTTGCTATATAACACGTCGGCAGAGAGAATATTTCCATGATTGACTGGCTATATAACACATCGACAGAGATAATGTATCTATGGTTAACTGGCTATATAACACGTCGGCAGAGAGAATGTCTCTATGATTGACTGGCTATATAACACGTCGACAGAGAGAATGTTTCTATAGTTGACTGGCTATATAACACGTCGGCAGAGAGAATATTTCCATGATTTACTGGCTATATAACACATGGGCAGAGAGAATGTTTCCATAGTTGACTGGCTATATAACACGTAAGCAGAGAGAATGTCTCTATTGCTGGCTTCCTATATAAAACGTCGGCAGAGAGAATATTTCTATAGTTGACTAGCTATATAACACGTCGACAGAGAGAATGTCTCTATTGCTGGCTTGCTATATAACACGTCGGCAGAGAGAATATTTCCAAGATTGACTGGCTATATAACACGTCGACAGAGAGAATATTTCCATGATTGACTGGCTATATAAAACGTCGACAGAGAGAATGTCTCTACTGCTGGCTTGCTATATTATACGTCGGCATAGAGAATATTTCCATGATTGACTGGCTATATAACACGTCGACATAGAGAATGTCTCTACTGCTGGCTTGCTATATAACACGTCGGCAGAAAGAATGTTTCTATAGTTGACTGGCTATATAACACGTCGACAGAGAGAATATTTCCATGATTGACTGGCTATATAACACGTCGGCAGAGAGAATGTCTCTACTGCTGGCTTGCTATATTACACGTCGGCATAGAGAATATTTCCATGATTGACTGGCTATATAACACGTCGGCAGAGAGAATATTTCCATGATTGACTGGCTATATAACACGTCGACAGAGAGAATGTCTCTACTGCTGGCTTGCTATATAACACGTCGGCAGAGAGAATATTTCCATGATTGACTGGCTATATAACACGTCGGCAGAGAGAATATTTCCATGATTGACTGGCTATATAACACGTCGGCAGAGAGAATGTTTCTATGATTGACTGGCTATATAACACGTCAACAGAGCTAATGTCTCTATGGTTGACTGGCTATATAACACGTCGACAGAGCTGATGTCTCTATGGTTGACTGGCTATATAACACCTCGGTAGAGAGAATGTCTCTATGGCTGTCTTGCTATATAACACCTCGGCGGAGAGAATATTTCCATGATTGACTGGCTATATAACACGTCGGCAGAGAGAATATTTCCATGATTGACTGGCTATATAACACGTCGGCAGAGAGAATGTTTATATGGTTGACTGGCTATATAACACGTCGGCAGACAGAATGTCTCTATTGCTGGCTTGCTTTATAACACGTCGGCAGAAAGAATGTTTCTATAGTTTACTGGCTATATAACACGTCGACAGAGATAATGTTTCTATGATTGACTGGCTATATAACACGTCGACAGAGAGAATATTTTTATGATTGACTGGCCATATAACACGTCGGCAGAGAGAATATTTCCATGATTGACTGGCTATATACCAGACCGGATGCAGGGGGGTAGGGAGAGAAAGTTATGACGAATCAATTGTTGGCTGGTTAAAATACTACATTTGTATACGTCTTTATTGAAGATGGTTTTGTGGTTATCTGCCAACATGTTTCTGCGGTCTGATGATTTCCACATTAACCTTACAATGTAGCACCATTGTATGTATCAGTAAAGAGAGGCTGTTTAGTTGACTTAAGATTCTTACACATAGGCTGTATGGTTGACTTAAAAAAAAATCATATGCATTTTTTCACAAGTAAATGGTCATTATTACTTCACAGGTGAAATAACGCTTATCATGGCATTATTACTTCACAGGTTAACTAAGAGTTATCATGTCATTATAACATCACAGGTAAACTTGGGGTTATCATGTCATTATAACATCACAGGTAAACTTTGGGTTATCTTGTCATTATTACTTCACAGGTGAAATAACGCTTATCATGGCATTATTACTTCACAGGTTAACTAAGAGTTATCATGTCATTATTACATCACAGGTAAACTTTGGGTTATCTTGTCATTATTACTTCACAGGTAACTCAGTAAGTTGGGGTTATCATGTCATTATAACATCACAGGTTAACTGTGGGTTATCTTGTCATTATTACTTCACATGTTAACTTATGTTATCATGTCATTATTACTTCACAGGTTAACTTATGTTATCATGTCATTATTACTTCACAGGTAAGTTGGGGTTATCATGTCATTATAACATCACAGGTTAACTTTGGGTTATCATGTCATTATTACTTGAGGTTATCATGTCATAATAACTTCACAGATTAACCAAGGGTTATCATTTTATTATTTCAACACAGGTTAAAAGTAATTTTTCATGTCATTATTACTTCACAGGTGAAATAACGCTTATCATGCCATTATTACTTCACAGGTTAACTAAGAGTTATCATGTCATTATTACATCACAGGTAAACTTTGGGTTATCTTGTCATTATTACTTCACAGGTAAACTTGGGGTTATCTAGTCATTATTACATCACAGGTAAACTTTGGGTTATCTTGTCATTATTACTTCACAGTTTAACTAAGGGTTATCATGTCATTATTATATCACAGGTAAACTTTGGGTTATCATGTCATTATTACATCACATGTTAACTTAGAATTATCATGTCATTATTACTTCACAGATTAACGAAGGGTTTTCATGTCATTATTACTTCACAAGTTAACTAAGAGTTATCATGTCATTATTACATCACAGATTAACTTTGGGTTATCATGTCATTATTATATCACAGGTGAACTTTGGGTTATCGTGTCATTATTACTTCACAGGTTAACTTATGTTATCATGTTATTATTACTTCACAGGTTAACTAAGAGTTATCATGTCATTATTACTTCACAGGTTAACTTATGTTATCATGTTATTATTACTTCACAGATTAACGAAGGGTTATCATGCCATTATTACTTCACAGGTTAACTAAGGGTTATCATGTTATTATTACATCACAGGTTAACTAAGAGTTATCATGTCATTATTACTTCACAGGTTAACTTATGTTATCATGTCATTATTACTTTACACATTAACTTGGGGTTATCATGTCATTATTACTTCACAGGTTAACTAAAGGTTATCATGTCATTATTACTTAACAGATTAACGAAGGGTTATCATGTCATTATTACATCACAGATTAACTAAGCGTTATCATATCATTATTACTTCACAGGTTAACTAAGGGTTATCATGTCATTATTACTTCACATGTTAACTAAGGGTTATCATGTATTAATTACTTCACAGGTAAACTTTGGGTTATCATGTCATTATTACTTCACAGGTAAACTTGGGGTTATCATGTCATTAATACTTGAGGTTATCATGTCATAAATACTTCACAGTTTAGCTAAGAGTTATCATGTCATTATTACTTCACATGTTAACTTTGGGTTATCATGTCATTATTACTTCACATGTTAATTTAGGGTTAGCATGTAACTATTACATTACAGGTAAACTTGGGGTTATCATGTCATTGATACTTGAGGTTATCATGTCATAATTACTTCACAGTTTAGCTAAGAGTTATCATGTCATTATTACTTCACAGGATAATTAAGATTTATCATGTCATTATTACTTCACAGTTTAACTAAGGGTTATCATGTCATTATTACTTCACAGGTAAACTTTGGGTTATCATGTCATTATTACTTCACAGGTTAATTAAGATTTATCATGTCATTATTACTTCACAGGTTAACATAGGGTTATGTCATTTTTACTTCACAGGTTAACTTTGGGTTATCATGTCATTATTACTTCACATGTTAACTTTGGGTTATCATGTCATTATTACTTCACATGTTAATTTAGGGTTATCATGTAACTATTACATTACAGGTAAACTTGGGGTTATCATGTCATTATTTCAAAACAGGTTAAAAGCACGTTTTTCATGTAATTATTACTTCACAGATTAACCAAGAGTTATCATGTCATTATTTCTTAACAGATTAACTTGGGGTTGTCATGTCATTAATACTTGAGGTTATCATGTCATAATTACTTCACAGATTAACCAAGCGTTATCATGTCATTATTTCAACACAGGTTAAAAGCAAGTTTTTCATGTCATTATTACTTCACATGTTAACATAGGGTTTTCACGTCATTATTTCATCACAAGTTAACTTAGGGTTATCATGTCATTATTACCATACAGGTAAACTTGGGGTTATCACGTCATAATTACATTACAGGTAANGTTAACTTTGAGTTATCATGTCATTATTACTTCACATGTTAACATAGGGTTATCATGTCATTATTACATTACAGGTAAACTTGGGGTTATGTCATTATTACCATACAGGTAAACTTGGGGTTATCATGTCATAATTACATTACAGGTAAACTTGGGGTTATCATGTTATATTACTTCTCAGGTTAAGTTATCCTGGAGATGCCTGCATCATATTGGTGTGGGAATTAACCTGTGAATGGCTGAACGTTGATTCCTGCCCACCCATACCTCAGCCATTCTACATTATAGTGTATATACTTTATAGATTATATGTTTTAATGTTTCTGCTGATTTATATGATTTACGCAATTTTTGTCTCATTGCATATTTGTTGATTCCGTGTTTAAGTGAAATTATGACAACTCCACCTTTCAGTTCGTTAGTTCCATGACTTGGAAATACTTACGTCCAACATATGAGTAAACATTGGTTTGGTTTGTTTGTGCTGTATGTCCTATTTACAGCTTTGGTCATTTAAGGACGTGCCAGGTTTTGGTGGTTGAGGAAAGCCGGAGTTCCCGGAGAATAAACACCAACCTA